TCTTCCCGCTGGTGGCCCCCTGCAGGAGCCCCGCCTCTTCGGAAAGTTTATCTGACTTAACTTCAACTACAATCTTGTCTTTACGTGCCTCTGGCTTTGTGCTAGGGGAGGGAGGTGACAATTTTGAGACATGTTTGTGATACCAGAGAGGGCACACGGCCGCTTGAGCGAGGCCAAGCCCTGGAGCTCCATCTCAGGGGATGCTCTGGAAGTGGGGTTGGAAGTGAGGAAGGCTGGGGTGAAAGAGGCTCCAGCTCAGAGAAAGGTTTGGGCTGCCCAGCCCCTCCCTGGGGAGGGGTCTCTTTGCTGCTCTATCACTCTGCTGTCCTCCTCATCACCTCCCTGCGTGGACAGGGAGAGCAGTGCGGGCCCCAGGCTGTGGGAAGCTGGAAGCGCTGCCGAGACCCCAGCGTGGTGCACCCCGAGGCTGCACTATTGCCTCCCTCCGCGTTGGGCAGGGAGCGGCTGGTGCAATGAGATGGGAAGCATGAGTGACAGCAAGCACCTCTGGCCCCAAGGGCTCTCTGGGAGGGCGGGTGGCAATGCTTACATGTCCTGTTTCCCAGTACGGCCACACGGGATCTTGCCTTTCTTGTGCAGGAAGTAGATGACAGACCCCAGCACAGCCACCACGAGGATGGAGACGATGATTGCCACAATGATCACCCCTTTGCTCTCTGGTGTCTTTTGATCTAAACACAACAGGAGAGGAAGAAGTTAATGCCAGTCCCACCCTGATGCACTCCAGCTTCTGCATTCACATTGGGGGCAAGGAAAGGACCCCTTCCCACAAGAAAGCACCATGAGGACTTCGGTTCCTGGTGCTTCTCCAGCTCCCTGCAGCATGCAGACATCAGTACAAAAACGCTCCCTGAGGGCAGTTTCTGTATGAGTACACTTTGTGTTCTGTTTCTGGCTGCCATGCCCCTGCATGCCACAGGAGGATGGCTTACAGGGTTCCTTCCCTGAAAGATACCAGGCCACCCCTTTGCTTCCTAGTGCAGGAAGCTGCACTAGATGGCCTTGCTGGGCTAGAGGCTGAGGACAAGCAGGCAGCTTTCATAGTGCTGCAGAAGCAGGTGGGGACACAGCCTCCTTCCCTCGTGGCTTGGCAGGGAGAGAGGAGCAGTGACAGATGCGGTGCCAGAGCCAGCAGCTAAGGCTCCCTCCCCAGACCAGAGGTAAGCATGACTCCCGTCGGTGGCATGCTCCTGCCAGAGCTTGGGCTGAGGGATGAGGCACCCAGCGCCGTGTGGAAACTGACCTTTTCTGATGGACTCCACTGAGAGCAGGAAGAGCTCAGCCACGCCACAGCACCACGGTGCCTGTACGAGAGGGACTAACACCTCCCTGGGTTCCCAGGGCAGAGGGCAGTGCCTGAGACTCACCGAGCAGCTGGATGTGCTTCTCGCTGACACCCAGTGAGTTGGAGACCCTGCACATGGCTCCTGCCCGCAGCAGGTCGTGGTTCACGCGCACCGTCAGGTTGCTGGCGATGTGCTGATTGTCCATGTACTCGTGAGCCTGCAAGGGGGGAAGGATTCAGTGCCCAAGGCACTGAGAGACCACAGCCTGGACCTAGCACTCTGCCCAGCTCTCACCGTCCCGTTGACATTCCAGTGGACAGAGGGTCTGGGGAAAGCGATGGCCTTGCAGGTCAGGTTCACCACCTCGTCCTGCCGCACATACAGCGGGGAGCTGATGGAGACGATCCGCGGCTTCCCTGTGGGGAGGGCACATCAAGCACCCATGGCTCTCAGGGGGGAACAGGGCTGATGCTGTGTGGATGGGGCTCACCCTGGCAGGGTGGCATGCCCACTCACATGCTGGTTCTTACCCTGAACAGCCACAGCCACCTGCTTGCTCTGCTCCAGTCCCGGCACGCTTGGTGCGATGACCTTGCAGCTGAAGTTGCTGGAGGTTTCGAAGGTGAGGTTGCTGAGAAAGAGCTGGTTCCCTTCTGCGACCTTCCTGCCCTGTTGGGAAGGGATGTCCCCCAGCAATGAGCCCTCAGCACCAGGCCCTTCTGCACCCAGCTCCCCAGGCTCTGCAGCTGTCCCTAAGGGGATCAGGCCTCCCTCCTACACCCAGTGAGGGAGCATGCAAGCACAGGACCTCTCTGGACGTGGAGAGATGGACAATGCAGGTCCATGCAAGGGAGAATCCTACCCCTGTCCTCTCTCAGGAGAGATGGAGCAGGCTCCTGACTCTGCCCAGTTTCCTGCAAAGCCCAGGCTTGTCGAGCCTGAGCGTGACAATACCCAAATGCCTGCTCACCTTCTCATCCCTCCACTGGTAGTCCAGGGCCACAGGGCTGTGGGCATCGCAGCTCAGCCTCACACTGTCCCCTTCCTGAAGGGGAGAGGATGGCTCCATCTTCACATGGACCCCTTCAATGTCTAGGAGAGGGACAGAGACCAGGGCAGGGTGAGCAGGAGGGACGGGGCACCCACCACAAGGTGTGCAGGGTCCCATCCCCCCGCCTTACAGTTCACAACAAGCTCCACATCCTTCTCCAGCTGTCCCATATCATCCAAGTCCAGAGTCTGGCATCTGTATAAGCCACTGCTGCTCTTAGTCACATCGTGCAGGTTCAGCACCCCACTGTTGGTGTCTGCCAGTGATGTCAGGTCCTCCCAGCTGTCATCCGGCTGCAGGCAGTGGGGAGAAAGCAGAGCCCTTAGCCCTACACAGGCACCCTCCATCCCAGCCCCTGCAGCCCACTCCCCAGGGCCCTTCAGGCAGGGAACAAGGAGCAGCCAGGACACAAGATGTGTGCCAAGGGAGAGGTACCCAGGTCCCCTCTGGCCTCACCTCTCTCTTATAGAAGGTGAAGACAGGTGCTGGGTTCCCATCAGCCTCACAGACCAGCTTCACATCATCCCCTTCCTTCACCAGCGTCGAGGACGGCACGACCTGCAGCTTCACGTGCTGTGCAGGGTCTGGGGGAGGCGGGAGCAGGGAAGGTGGGTGCTGGGCCCTGCCAGGCAGCACCGGGCAGCAGGCACAGCCCCCAGCCCCTGACTCACAGAAGACAGTGACGTTGACTCGCTGTGACTCCACGGCACGCCTCTGTCCCCGCAGCCAGTAGTGCACAGTGCAGTGGTAGAAGTTTTCTCCCGGGTTACTTGGGCAAAGAGGGTGCTGCTCACCGTGTACAGCCCGCTTGACTCACGGGTCAGCGTGCCCAGGATCTTCACCGCTGCAGGGGACACAACCACTGTTCCCAGCCCATGGGGAGGCCATGGAGGGCTCCCTTGGGAGCATGGGGCTCCTTTGGGTGGCCATGGGCTGCCAGTCCCCAGCTGATGAGGCCCCAGATAGCACAAGTACCCCAGCCCCTCTCCTAAGTAGGCAGGTTTGGTTCCCCATCCCCATCCCATTCTCATCCAACTCACTCTTCTCTTCTGGCTGCAGCTGCTCCCCGTTCTTGTGCCACGCGATGTTGGGGGGGGGAAAGGCATTACTGCTAACTTTTTTTTTGGCAGCAGAGAGAGCCTTGAGCACGGGGTGTCCTCATGGGGAGAGGGGAGCCTGACACAGCTGAGAGCCTCCCCCACCTGCGGTGGGGCCTCTCCTCACCTGCGAGATGCCACTGCTCTGCACGGAGATGCCTGCTGAGCTGGCCGTGATCTCAGGAGCCTCGGGGAACTCTGAAAAGAGAAGCCATCCCACATGTATCAGGAAGGATGGGATCCCCCACTGGCCCCACAGAGCAGATGCATGGCTGTGCTGCTCTTGTGCCCCATCACTCACTGTAGATGTGGAGCTCAGTGCGGTTCTCGCCCATGCCATGGCTGCCTGCTCCAACCTGGCACACGAAGGTCCTGGCATCCTGCACTGTCACCCTGCTGATGGAGAGGGCCTTGTCCTCCCCCACCAACAGCCGCCCCTTGTAGTCCGTGTTCTCCTCCAGGATCTCACTACCTGTGATGTGGCACAGCCTCACCCGGTGGTTACGGTCAATCTGCAAGGTGAGAGACCGAGGCTGGGCTGACGAGGAGCCTGGGAGAAAGCCCCAGGCTAGCTGCCACCCCAGCCCACTGCCCACCGCTCCTCTTACAGGTCAGCACTCACATAGAACCAGTTGATGTAGGTGTAGGAACCATTTCCAGGGATGTAGAAGTTGCACTCGATCCTGGCCGTGCCCCCGCTCTCCACTTCAACCACTGCTGGCATGGAGACCTCCAGCTTGCTGGCTGCAGCTGTGGGACAGAGCCCATCAGGGGTGGGAAACATGGGGAAGCCCCTGTGTCTGAGCCAGCAAGGGAGCTGAGCCCAGGCTTGTCCCCATCTCTGTCCCCTGAAGAGTGTGGGGCCGTGTCCTGTGCCAGCATCCCCCAGACACCATGTGGCCCACGGCTCCCCTCCTGCCACCATGCTGCCTTCTGCGTCCACAGAGCTCAGGCCACCGACCCTGTTCCCAGAGAGGGGACAAGGCATGCCATGCTCACACCATCGGTATCACCAGGACATCTGGAGACAACCACCTACTTCACTGCTGTTGCAGCCCCCGCCAGACCTGTCCTCCCCACAGCATCCCAGCCTTGCTGAAATGGGCAGCAGGACCTCTGAGTTCCCAAATTCCCCCACACACCACCGAGGCAGGGAGCAGCTCCACCCTGCCCAGGAATGGGTATGTGAAGGGGCTGCATCTCCACAGCCTGTGAGCAAGCAGATGGCCCTGTCGGCTGCCTTAACCTGAACCCCAGGCAGTGCTGTACCTGAACTCCAGGCAGTGCTGACCCCCTCACACCCCGGAGCATACATCTACCCCTAGTCTGAGCCAGCATCCCAGACCAGCACCCACCACGCCTTCCTGGCACCAAGGGCTGAGCACAGAGGTGTTGGGAGGTTAGCAGAGGCAGGGGAAGGGGCTGGGTGCTGGAGACTGAGGCAGCACAAAGGCTGTATCTTCCCAAGGCCCGGGACCAGAGCCCTGACGTCAGCCTGCACAGCCCCCGCAGTGGCCCCGGGAGCTGGGGCATGAATGAGGTGCTGTGTTCCTCTGCAACGGGATGGGGCACACAG